TGATAAACATGGAACATAAAACACCAAATATTAATAACTGTGTTGTTTATACTGGATTAATTCTAGGGATTCGTAGTCCAAAAAGAGAACTTCATGTACCTATAGCTTACAGTAAGCCAATACTTTTAAATTATGAACAAAATACTGAAACAAAATACCCTAAAGATCTTACTACCTTCTTGCTGTGTTATCTTTGTAAAATACTATGAGAAAAAGGCATATTGCCACTAATAAAAGCTTATGCTTATTGATAAAACAATTAAAATTTAGAAGCTCAACAATAAGTGATCCCAGATTCTTTTGTTTGAAGGTATTTTCAGAACAAAATTATATCTGTTCTATATATTCAGTTATTCACCTATCAGTCTTTAAATATGTTTTAATTTCCAGAAGCAAGATGTTAAGATTTCCCACATACTCCATCATATCTAAATTGAACAGTCACAAGAGACAAGTGTGGGATAAAATGGTAGAATTCTGCAGCTAAATATAAAATAGACTTCCTTTAAAGAGGAAAAAAAAAAGTCCTTCTTTTTCTTTTTTTACAGTTAAAACTCTCTTAAATGAATCTTTAAAATAAGAGCAAGTTTAGTTTAGCGAGTTAAGGGAATGAACCAAAAAACCAGACCACTTAGGGTCAAATCCCAGCTGAACCACCATGTGAACACCTCCCTGAGCCATGGATTCTTATTTTGTCAAATATGAAGTGCCCTGAATTGTGATGAAGAGTAAACAAATCTGTCTCTATGTGTATAACAGTAATTGGCACATAGTATTTTTAAATGTAACATTGTAGGTCATGCCTGACAAACTTATTATTTATTATATTTATGTACAAGCAAGATTAGTAACTAACATAGAACTATTCTGTAAAAATACCTTGCGTGTGCTAATAGGAAAATAGTTCAAAATCAAGTCTGAATGTCACAAACTACATAAATGAAATCACTGACTAGTACTGAATTTTCTTGGCTAAATAGGGTATATTAATCCTGGATTTACTAATGAACTTACAGAAAAACGCTTAAAGTATGAAAAAAAATGCTTTTCTAGATGTTTAAACAACTAAATTGTGAAAAATGTGTTTTAATGGCATTATTTCTGTCCTTAGTTTCACCCATTTACCAGTATTAAAAAGTTTTGCTGTCTTGTTTCATTTCCTGTAAATAGCATAAGTATCCTACTTAGTAGTAAACACCCTGGCACAACTAAAATTAATTTAAATAGTAATGTATAATTTTCTTAAGTACATACTAAACAATTTGGAACTCATGTTAGGGTATAATTTCCCTTCACATTATTAACTGATTTATGATTATAAAGTTATTTTCTGTGTCACTCAAAGTGACATAAACATAAGGGAACAAATAAAACCTTAAAGATTTCTAAGTAAAATTGCGAAATAGAGGGAAAGCTCTAAAAGCTGAAATCAAGGGTTCCTATTTAAAACTTCACTTATCTTTGAAATTCTTTGACAATTCATTGAAACAAAAATAAAGACATATTAAATGATTCTTAAATACAAGTTAACAAACATTACTTTCCAAAGTTACCTAAAACCTAACAGAGTTACTATGGGTTACACAAAAATGACACATAATATTTAGCTACACATTATCATTAAATATAATCAGACATAAATATTACTGAAAATGAAGCTAGGCAAGGTCATACACACACACTTGCAATCCTGGATACTCAGGAGGCTAAGGCAGAAAGATGACCAGTAGTACAAGGCCAGCCTGGACAACTTAGTGAGATCCTGTCTCAAAGTAAAAATTTAAATATAAAAGGCTGGGATGTAGCTCAGTAATTGCCTTTCAGGTCTGAGCAAATTCAAACCCCAGCACCAAAAACGAAAACAAAACAGAACAAAAAAATTACTGAAAATGATTGGTAGATGAATGCCATTTAGTAAATTGGGGAAAATAAAGTAGTGATTTCATTTTGATAAATGTTTATTTGTTCTCAATAAGTCTATTTTAAAAGAAACCTCCAAACCAGTAACTTTCCTTGTAACTCATCTGTTTACCTAGATCAGTCTTAGAATTTTGAGATTTTTAAGTCTTTTTTGTATAGTTTCTAAATTCTAGCTTAATCTTGTTCATGATTTTCTGAATCTCATTATAATGCAAACAGATCAACAAATAGCATAATGAGACTACTGACTTACTTCCTTTGCTAATTGGTGTTACTTTCCTCTCTACTACTTCACAGTGGTATGTGCCTCTTCATCTCAGACTTACCTAATTTACTTTCACCTGTAGAATATCGGTTTATATATAAAAATCATTCACTGCTTACAAATGAGCAAATTCTGGTATTCATGCAAGATCAAATAAATCTTTATACTTGCCTAGGTACTAGAGTTAGTTACTAGAGGTCTAGGAAAAAGTCTTATTTGCAAAGTGCTCAAGAACTAATTTAATCCATTTGATTCTAACTCTAAATACCTGTATTAAACTCTCAAGAGTAAATAAACTTTATGATAAACCTACCATTTTTTATTAGCAGCACAGTCTTTCTGAGATGGTTTTCTGTATGTGGTAAGGAAAATATTCCACTTTTGTTAAGGGTAGTTTCAGCTCTAATATGACAGGATTTGCCCAAATACCTATTAAAGATTAATCTAGAGACTTACAGAGTGGCCCTAAAAATAAAAACTTTCTAATGAGTTTCAAAAATTCGCCTAACAACTAAATTATTTTTATTAAATATTCCTATCAGTTCTGTACTCATGAGTTCATTATATAATTTCTATTTATCAGATTATTTTCCTTTATAATCAAGTTTTTACTTTACACTCTTTTTTTTGGACAGGTTTCACCTGCTAATTGGCGAGCAAAGTGGCTCATGGATAAACCAAATTGGTTTCTGAAATTCCCGAATACCTTTTTTGCCTGTATTTTTTCCTTTAAATAAAAGAGAAAACTAATGTGTGGATCAAACTTGCAAAATTTCCACAGATACCTGAATATCTGTGCCCTGTTTTCTTTTCTTTAAAATGAAAGTATTGAAATGACTCGAATATGGACCTACTCTAAAAATGATTCTCAGTAACTTTGCCAAAAAGCAAAAATACACTCATTTGAAAAATACCAAACTTCAATGCCTCAACATATTGCTTCTATCATACTGTAAACACAACCAATCATTACTCAATATACCCAAAACATGACATTAATATATAACTCAAAGATTTATATTTTATGGATATCCACATTTATATTTTAAGACACAGTAACAGGGTGAGTGAATTAAATTTTTTAAAAGATATTCTTTTGCAGGGCTAAGTTTGTGGCTTAGTGGTAGAGCGTTTGCCTAGCATGTGTGAGGCACTGGGTTGGATTCTCAGCACCACTTATAAATAAATAAAATAAACATCCATTGCCAACTAAACAATATTTAAAAACATAAAAAAAGATATTCTTTTGCATACAATAAAGAAGGCCTGATTTCATCTTTAAAAATTTACAGGCCAAGGTAAACATAGGTGTCCTAGGAAATGCTCAAAATCTCCTCAAAAATAAACATCTTAGGAACAACATTCCAGTATGAACAAAAATGATTATTAAGTCATTTGTAAGTCTATATTTGCTGTATAGCAACAAGTGTATATTGCACCCTTAGGGATTTTCATTACAGAAACACAGTATGTAGCATAACAAAGTACGAAAAAAAGTACTAAGGCTTAGATCAAAGTACTTAAATTCAAGTCCCAGATCTGCCAACTATTAGCTTATTTGATAACTATTCCAATACTATAGCATTTGGTCAGGAGTCAATGGCAGAGATAAAAAGGTAACTAAGACTATATTTCATAGGTATTACATGTTTTGGAATATTTGATTGAATCTAAATATAACCCCTGTAATAAAATTGTTAAGGTGCATTCTATAAATGAAGACACTGTGGTGCAATGACTTACATGAATTTGCCTCAAAGTCATATTGCAAGTTAAGTGATGGAATAAATTAAGTGAAATAAGTCTAAATCTTATTATATTCCTTCCACTAAGTCACACTGGAGTATAAGGGGGAAAAAAAAAAAAAACACTGTGAATTATATATCACTGTTCTGATGACAGAGGGACGTGAAAATTTTTTATTATAATGAAGAGGCACACTATCCTTCTTCCAAAAAGTATTTTCCCTTTATGTTAAATATTCATGTATTCAAGTTATTCTGGATGTCCCTTGATGTGGCTGCAAGTATTAAAAGCTCCACACACTTCCTTCAGTATTTTAAGTACAGTATTTTATAAGTTTGAATATTAGCAAGTTACTTAAGCCTCAAGTAGACTTATCTACTTTTTGCAGGCCTATGTTATCCTTCAAACAGGAGGGAAGGGCTGCACTTCTAACAGAAACACTGCCGGCTTCTACCAAGCCTCCACTAGAGCACCAGACCACGTGGTATCTCTCTTAAGCTTAAGGTTCCCTACTCCTCTCCCTCCTTTTCACAAGGACCTGGAAATTAAGGTTTCTTTCTCTTAAGTAGAGCCCTGACACATGCCACCTGTGTAGTACAGACCGCAAACATCCTGCAGCCTGACTCCCGGAAGCCTACCAGAATCAGAATAAAGGGGAACTTGGATGCCGACAATGCCAGGAAGGGATGATTGGAAAAGTAAAGCGAATGAGACTACGATAAGCTATGGGACGAGGACCTGTCAAAATAGTGTAAAACCCACGCCGAACGACTACAACCTATCCTTCGGGAAGGCCTGAGGTGGGAGCGGCACTACGGAAGGAAGGAGGACGAAGGGACCCGCACGAGCTGCCGACGCCGCTCCCCACATACCTCTCAGCATGCACCGACAAGCCAAGAACCCTAGCCCTCATCTCGGGTCTAACCTTTGCCCCAAAATCCTGCTGCCTAAGGCGGCCGCCGCCGGACCTGCCCGCACCTGTCACTACAGAAACACACCAGCCCGCGGTTCCCGCCCAGTCCTCCACCGTCCTCAGGCAACTGCAACCACCTCAACATCTTTCCCCTACCAGGTGTCCCCTTTCCGGAGCGAGGTTTTCAGCAGCGTCGCGATGTCAGAACGCTGGGTGTCCAGATCCGCCGCTCCGCCTTCCGCCATCTTCTTCCACTAGCGGCAGCGGAGGCGGCAGCTACGGCGGCGGCACGCCCAGAGCATTGTGGGAATGGCGTCCCGCGGCCCCTCCCAGTCGGCAGGTCGAAACCAAAAGAGACGCGGGGGGAGGGGGTGCCTCGGGACAAGAGGAAGCCTCGGGGGTGGACTGGGTGCGCGTCTGTGGTCTGCTGCCCCCCATCGGTCCCCGCCCGTCCAGCATCTCGCCTGGGCCTCCTCCGGGCCCGGGACCGCCGGCTTTTAACTCTGGTGGCTGAGGGCTCGGGCGTTCTGCGCTTCAGCGGTGCCAGGGCCAGTCCAGCCTCGACTTTGCCTACCCCTCCTTTCTTCCTGCGGACGCCTGAAAAACCCTTATTTGCGTATTCACTCACGCTTGAGGGTGGGGTGGGGCGGGGAGTGTGGGGACGGCTAAGATATGGCAGAAAATTTACAGCTCCGTGACTTTGGGCTTTTGGTTGCGAGTTGCAGAACCCAAACTCAATGATTACTGGCACAAAGAACAATCCGAAACCGAACGTTTGGCCGCAGTGCCCTTCCTAGGTTCCTTCCAGCTCCCTTGCTATAGGTAGGGACCTTTTTTACAGGCTCTTTGTGACGCCTCCTCAGGCACACCTAGACAACTAAGCTGCAGTGAAAAACATGTCCCAGTTCCTCCGTGAACAGGGAGTAAAATCATGTATTGAATCATGACAGGTACCAAGGGGAAGAAAACTGGGAAAAACCTACTACTCTGTGCCAGTGTAACATTTCCTTAATGTCATCCCATGGTGTGTGCACCTGAATTGAAACTTAGATAACGTGAGCTTTTTCGAAGCCAACAATTATGGTTCAAATGGGGAAATTGAGTCCAAAATCAAGATGCCAAGGTCAGACATACAGCAAGTGGAGAGGCAAGTTCACAGCCCAGGTTCCAAAGACCATGTACTATAATCTATAGCATACTCTACCTCTCCTTAGGAAATCCTAAATTAAAATGTAAATCCCACAAGAGCTGCAACTGGGTTCCTCTTGTTCTGCTAGGGTCTCTCTCTCTCTCTCTCTCTCTCTCTCTCCCTCTCTCTCTCTCTCTCTCTCTCTCTCTCTCTCTCTCTCTCTCGGAAATTTGGTGGCTAGCATCGTGCTGAATAACGTAAACAACATAGTTGATAAATTGTGGAAAACTGCTTAAGTAATTACAAGCATGAAGATGTCCAGATGTGACTTTTTAAGATAACGTCTAACATCTGATGTGACAAATAAAATGATTAACAAGAATCATGACATGATCTCTCCCATTTTTAATGCCTACCCTAACTCATTTGGAAGATTGGTGTAGTTATGTTGGTAAGAAGTGTTGAAGCTTACCAAATAAAAGTATTGTATATTGGTATTTGATTTGGGTATATCCATATTATTATTGCTTGTTGCTATACAATACTATTTTGCATTATCAGCCTTTACTTGAGAGTCTGAAAGCAGTTTCCAGTTACTTCTATTACTTGTTTGGCTTTTCTTCTGATGGGTTAAAAAAATTAGTGTTTCTCTAAACATGGGTATCCTCGGTTATATTTTCCCCCTTTTCCAAAGTAGTTATCCAAAGAGAGGCAGTATGATATGAAAATAATATGTTGTAGCCATATAGACTTTAGTTCAAACTTCACTTCAACCTCTAGGAGCAAAGTACTTAACCTGTAGATTAATAATAAAATTGAGTATTATAATACTTACCCTAAGGATTCTTGTGAAGATTAAATTAAATAATATGTGTTTATTGCTTTGGACATAATAGTCAATAAATATTAGCAGGAGGAATTAGACTGATGACAGAATGAATTGTATAGTATTTGAATTATATCTCAATAAAGCTTTTTTAAAAAGTGTTTGGGATTTTGAAGGCAAAATTGTGCTCTATCATTTATAAACATAACATAATGAAGAAGCAATGAGTCACATACTCTTATTCAATTTTCTCATTGAAGAGAAACGTTGACGCCTATAGTCATTCCACTAAGTAAAATAGTCTTTTCTCCACCTGCACCATGCTAAAGGCAGTAAGTTAACTGGAAAAAGATATATAAATTCAACGTCAATTTGAGTTATACAACAGATCAATTTGTAGACTTAACTAGTTGCCATCCAAGTCAGGAAAGAAATATTAGTTATAATATTTTATTTAGCAACATACGTAGAGTTACTAGCATTGTTCTAAACACTTTAAAGTACTAACTCTATCCTCTCAGCAACTCTTTGATTAAGGTACTATTATTATTCCAATTCTATAGATGAGGAATTAAGACTAGTAAGTAGGAGAACCCAATATTGGATGCAAGGAATCTGGCTTCAGAATTTAGAAGATTTGGGAAATTTTAAATTTTTTTTCCTGAACTTTATGATCTCGTTTATAGCAATCAACTTTTCAGTGACCTCCATTTATGAATTCATAGAAATTCTGCTTATTTTACTAATATTTTCTTCAATTATGAGGAGAAATAAGACATTCATAAATACTAAATTGGTTAAGGCCCATATTCCTACATTCAGTAGGAAGATAAATTAATAAAAACTGTATTACTTTGAATGACACAGATCATTGAGTAAAAATCAGAAGATTACATCTGCTTATTCTGAATTAGGGTCTTCAGTGATGTCTCTCTACGTTAACTTTTACAAATATACTACTTGTATCTTTCTTGTCTATTTTAGAACCTAAGGGTTTTGAGTAGGGAAAGCGGGTAAAGAATGCTGAGTACTTTAGAAATCAGGCTTAATGTGAGTAAGGTGGGCCTCACATAAAGTCAGTTGATTTTAAAATTGAAGATACTCTAGGGAGGATTCTTTTGATCTTGTAGTGATTCCTTTCTCTGCTCACTGTTGTTTGAACAGTCCCTTGTCCAACCTTGAGAGGTCCTTGCACTCAAAAATTAAAAGAGAGGACTTGAAATATAAATACTCCAGAGTGAGTAGAGGCTTAAAACTAAGTTGTCAAATAAGACCCAGTTTTCAGCATGGGGTGATTCAGAGAAGAAGAAAAAGCAACATGTTCTATATAAAATGGTTGAATGGGAGAAAGTTCAAAAGAAAATTCCAAGATAAATTCTGCCAACTTCACAATTTTTTATGGGACTGGCTACTTGAGCCCAAGAAAAATCTGCCTGAAGTCAGTGGATTTAGTTCATTGCAGATGTACACAGAATAAGCATATCTCCTGAAAGAAAACCGTTTGTGACCTGGCTGCCTTTATTTCTCTACTCTTCCTATCTTTAATCTTCAGGAAGCACTGCCTCACTTTTTCCTTCTCCCCTGTCCTTCCTCTGCAGTTTTTCCCTCTGATAATCCTACCACCCCCTCATTCATATTCATCTCCCAAAACCTTTCATTCTTTTCTCTTATGTAATTGTGTAACTCCTTTCTCCCTTCAGCAGCTAGAAGGCAGCAGAAAGGCGGAGGAGGAGTGCAAACATCAAAATAGCGAGTAGTAAAATACTTAATCTGTTAATGACATTTTGAAATTTGGGATGTGAATAAAAATCGTAAGTGCCACGATACAGTTTTTAAAGTTAAAAAGCACAGCGGCTTCTTATTTCAGACAAATGTTAGGTTCCGATAAAGAGGATGAAATCGTAGTGAAGTGAATATAGCACCTTTTACAAAGAACCAGTATACTTGGATTGTGACTCTGGCTCAGTGCCACTAACTAGCTGTGTAACCTTGGCCAAGTTATTTAATCTCTGTGAGCATTCGTTTTCTCATTATAAAATAAGGTGATTAAACTTCATGGGCTGAAACTCAAATGCTTGCAAGGTTTAGATATAGCTAATGTAAATGGGTGAAGCAAATATGCCTTAAGATAATAAGGAGTTGTGGGGACTCCATTGAACCATCTGCCCCAACTAAATGTGTTTAAATTAAAGGAGTTAGAATAAACAAAATTATATCTCCTTTGCTATGGGATCTAGAAAGTTGAATTTTGGCATGGGCATGAAGTCTACAAATTAATTAATCTGGGTTGTTTCTTAGATCTCTTCTTAAGCATATAAAAAATGCTATGAAAGCAGACACTACCCTGAAGGTTGATATCAATTCTCCCTATGTGTAGCCAATTCTCATTAAATGATGGCACAACTAAACAGATTTGAATCAATAAACAAATCAAGTAGTCTAATGGGTCTAGAATGAAAGCAAAAGAAAAAAACAAAAACAAAAAAATCCTTAATAGAGAATATAATCTGTGGGTTCTAGGTAGTTTAAAATGAATTGTCCTTTATGATGGAAAAGTTTTTCAAGCAAGAGTTGGCTTATCCTCTCCAGCCAATAGTGATATAGCTTAAACCAAAGTTGGCAGTAGGAAAAGTCTATTTTATATTTTTTATTTGCTATTTGCCTTTATTGATAGACTTCCAGATTGATAAAAGATCAATTAAAGAAAAAAAAAAACAAAACAGAAATCTCTAAGCAGTCTCTGGTCCTTTCCCAAGCTTCATAATAATGGATGAACTTGAGAAAGTTAAATTGTTTCGAGATGCTGATCTTTTGTTTTAAATGGACAAAATGATTTAAACAAAATATTGACCTTAACAATATATATTTGATCATTTGTACTTTATATATTTCATTCAAAAGTTTAAAAATGTTTTTGTTATGCTATACATAACATCTATACAACCAAAGTAAAATAGAGAGTTGTACAATGAGCTACTGATTCTGCAACTATATAGATTCCAGAGAGACTTACTTTGTTTTCTCCCAAGAGAGGGCTAAATTATTCAGATTTTCTGTTTGGACAATCTTTCTCTTCATTTTGGCTGAGGAAGCAAAACAATTTAAACTGCTTACAAAGAGTTTTAGAATAATATAATAGGTCTTAGAGACTATCCTTGTTCTTGGACTGATGGAAATATAAGGCGTTTTCATAATGTTGACTTCCAGGTATCTCTAAGCAGCAGGACATTACATACTGTCCTGCAATAAAGTGGCTCCCGCTGTATCAACCTTCACAAGTTCCTTGTCACTCGCCCCCCCACCCCCCCACCCCCGTTATTTCGCCCAGCAAGGCTGCGGCAACTTCTAAAATCTAACAC